CTGCCCTGCCTGTTCCATGTAGCTAATCCAGCAGTAGGTAGTATGTCTACATGGTGGCGACTAACCACGTGTGACTGTTTACATTTAAATGAATAATTGAGTCTCTTTTCCATGTACATATTCCAAGTGCTCCAGTAGCCACATTTGGCTACCATATCGAGCAACCAGTGGAGGAGGTTTACATCATTATAGAAAATTGTGCTGTTCAAAAAATGTCAAGTCTCTTCATAGGAGATGCTTGGTTTTTGATTGGTGTTTGGTGGTGGTGGGGTGAATGATCACAGAGGTTACAGGAAGGTGAGGTGACCATAATAAATAAGGTGGCGTGTGTGTGTGTGTGTGTGTGTGTATTTTTTTGTTTGTTTTAGAGATAGGATCTTGTCACTGTCCTCTTATCTCAGAGGCCTCCTAGTCTACAGGTGTGTACCATCACACTCAGCTGTTTTTCTTTTTGTTATTTTGTTTGTTTGTTTAAAAGACATGGCCTCACTTTGTTGTCCAGGCTAGCCTTGAGCTCACAGTCCTTCTGCGTCAGTCTCTTGGGTCTCTGGAATTGCAGGTGCACGCCACTGCACCCAGCCTTGAGGTCAGAGCAGGAACTGAACGAGGCCTCCTATGTGGTCCCAGCCTGCAGAGCCCAGTGCTTTCCAGCACATGCCGCTGCACCTGCTCAGGTCAGCGTGTACGTGAATACAGAAGAGATTCTCCAGTCCGCAGTGGCTTGAATCTGTTTTCTTGGGACAGATCTTTTATGTGCTTCTAGCCTTTTAGATTGAAGGCTCACTGGCTTAGGAGATGCTTTTTTGTTTTTTGTTTGTTTGTTTGTTTGTTTTGTTTGCCAGAAGATACAAGTGCTTGCCAGAGAGAAAGAGAAAGTGAGAAAGCACCCTCCATGGGGAATGGTCACTCTGCAATTACTTCTCCATCTCTTCCTCCTTTCAGGATTTGGGCATGCAGTGTATAGGGCCTGGTATGTTTTTCAAGCCATTGGGTTCAGAACTGGAACGGACAGTTGGCCTTGTGGGATCCGGTTGCTTCAGCCACCATGCCACAGGCTGGCCCCACAAGACCGTCTTTCTCACATAAGTCTTTTAGCAAAGTTGTATTTTGAGGAGGCTCAGCAAACAGGAGCAGGAGAGTGTGTGTATCTGCTTTGATCAGCATCCATTTTCCATACGTATAGGCTGAGGTGATTTCACTGGAGTAGTCCCAAGCCACGGTCAGAGAGCCACAGGGCATTTGACTGAACCTTGCCGTCATCTGTGAGTGGGGAGATGTTGGGACCAAAGTCTGTCTACGCCCCTAGTTAAAAGTAAGTGGGTCAGGAGGGGCAGCCATAGCGGGCCAGCTGCAGTGATGCTCCCTGGTATGAGAGTGTCACTTTAATTTTTTTTCTCCCAATTTCTGTATAAAGCCACTTAATTTGTATGTGACCTGGCACCTTTAGCTGTTCAGTTTAGGAAATTCCTTCTATTTTGCCAAAAGAAAACGTGCCCATTTAGACCCAGGAATGCTGGGTTTTTTTTTTCAGCCATCTCTTCTGCTTGCCCTGAGGGCTGTCGTATATCTGCTTTCAGTATGTTTTACTTCAACTTGGGGAGAATATTTATGATGTGAAAATGATGATAGCTTGAAGACATTTCACCTTGGATTCTAGAACTAGGTGAAGATGGGGAGGTGGCATTCGCTGTTGCTCCCCATTGCTCTTCCTGTGTTTTATTGGCGATGCACAGCACTTAGCAGGGCAGAGATTTCTGGGATCCTCAAGACCTTGGTCTGAGGGTAGTTTACCTCACACTGGTCCTGGAGATAAGTAGCTTTTGAACTTTTAAGTATTCGGAGCGGGGCAGCCATAGCGGGCCAGCTGCAGTGATGCTCCCTGGTATGAGAGTGTCACTTTAATTTTTTTTCTCCCAATTTCTGTATAAAGCCACTTAATTTGTATGTGACCTGGCACCTTTAGCTGTTCAGTTTAGGAAATTCCTTCTATTTTGCCAAAAGAAAACGTGCCCATTTAGACCCAGGAATGCTGGGTTTTTTTTTTTCAGCCATCTCTTCTGCTTGCCCTGAGGGCTGTCGTATATCTGCTTTCAGTATGTTTTACTTCAACTTGGGGAGAATATTTATGATGTGAAAATGATGATAGCTTGAAGACATTTCACCTTGGATTCTAGAACTAGGTGAAGATGGGGAGGTGGCATTCGCTGTTGCTCCCCATTGCTCTTCCTGTGTTTTATTGGCGATGCACAGCACTTAGCAGGGCAGAGATTTCTGGGATCCTCAAGACCTTGGTCTGAGGGTAGTTTACCTCACACTGGTCCTGGAGATAAGTAGCTTTTGAACTTTTAAGTATTCGGAGCCCTTTTAGGATATGAGGAGAGCCACAGGAGCTAGACTCACGTGCCACACATACCTTTGTACAGGCCCAGATCCTGCAGGGACCCAGTGTTCATGTGCAGAGCCTTAGCAGTAGAAGGGAAATGCCCTGGCTCCAACTGTGTGGTTCTCTGCTTGTCAGCTTCCCTCCAGAATTACCTGGACCGTCGATGAAAAGTGGGTTGAACACGCAGGGATTCTCTACATCTTTGCTGCCTTTGAGGCTTTTCACAGTAGGTTTTCCCTTCAGCTCTGCCTCAGGGTCTGGAACAGGCTAAGGAAGGCAGAGAGGAAGTCCTACCACCTGACTGCCAGGTGAGGAGTCAGTGCCCAAACCCTGAAGTTCACTCTCAAATCAGTCTCCCAAGAATCTGCTTCAAGAAGGTGGAGCCTAGGGCCTCAGTAAGCCGCCTTTCTGTGCTTGGCTGTGTGCAGAGTTGGTAAGGGCTCAGCTCTTCATTGCGGCCCAGCCAGGTCACAGCAGGCAGCTCTGGCCTCGTGGGCTCAGCGTGCCGTGGAGGTCTGCACGGCCATCAGGCAGGTCCGCCTGGAGGAGGAGGGCAGGTATTGTGCCTGGGCCCGGGGAGGAAGCCGTCCTTCCCTGTGGCACTTTTTGGAGCTCTTGCAGCAGAGAAGCCGCTGAGCTTGGTTCATTCAGGTGTCAGCTATTCGTTCTTTGATCTGTTTTCTACTTCCTCACCAGTAGTCAGGCCACGCTGTGCCCATTTAAACCCAGGGATGTGGTTTTGTTTTTCAGCCATCTTTTCTGCTTGCTTTGAGGGCTGTCTTGTATCTGCCATGATTTTCATGGTTTTACTTTATCCACTGCAGTTTTCTTCCTATAGGAGCTTGGAGTGAATGAGGCTGGTTTGGGAACACGCGTTGCTCACTGTCAGCTACCTGAGAAAGGTGTGAGGGAGTATTTGCAGCTGGTGGTTGCTCTGTGTGGGATCCAGAGCCTTCGGGCATTTGCAGGCTCTGATTCAGAGTCTTTCCTGGGACCCTGTTAAGTTTTTCATAGCTTCTTGAGCTGGGATTATTAGAGTAGGTGATGAGACTGTTCCCTCTCCTTCACTCAGCAGAGGCCGGACTCTTTATGAGCTCGCTAACATGTTTCTCTGTGATTTTGATCAGGCAGGCATGGTGTGTCTACTATTTTTAAGGGTACTTTTGCTACCACCTGGGTTTTACAGCCTTTAGTCGATCCTTCCTGAGAAGGCAGGCATGTGAACAGAGGCTCCATGCCACAGTGCTACCTTCCGGGGTGTCACTGTTGCTCTCTGCTCTTCCCCCACCTCCTTTCTAGGTAGACAGCACCTTCCCTGGTATTGCTGCAGACTGGCCTCGCTGTTGTTTGGGAATTCGTTCCCTACAGTTTTATTCAGGAACTCCAGCGTGTACCCTGGGTTGACCATCTCTGCCTTCGTGCAGTCTTCTGAGGACTGGGGAAGGGAATGGCTAAGGTTTATGAAGAGATGAAGCTCTCACTTTGGCTTGGGCTCTGCCTGCCATTTTAGTAGTTCCTGGTGGTCAGGCAGGCCTATGCCCGATGGCAGGGGCTTAGTTATACTCGCCTCAGCTCTGCCCCTTTGCAGCCCTTCAAAGTCCCATGGGTGGAAGTGTCACAGGACACCCACCTAATTCCTACAGGGTTTCCCAGGCAGGAAGCAGAGCCCCTGGAAGGGGGAGGGGGCGGAGCACACCAGGCCCGTTGAAAGGTAAGAGCAGAGGTCCCAGGGGCGAGCGCTGTTGCCAGCAGTGGGTATATTCTCCAGAGCCAGCTCCGGGAGCTAATTGATGTGTTTTCTTCTTTCTGGAAACTGGTAATTAACCTCAGGCAATAAATGTGTGTGAATGCAGGTGCTTCCTTCCTGAAAGCTTCCCACAAGCCTTGTGCATAATCTCGGCTCTTGCTTGTCTTACCTTTTAGCTGACAGCTCTGACAACTCTGATTTGGAAGATGACATCATCTTATCTCTGAATGAGTGAGGAGCCGTCACTGCTTGGAAGAGTCTTGGCAGGCGAGAAACCGAATCAGATGAATTCCAAACACCTTCCTTTCCCTTCCTCCCAGGGCTGGCTGTCTCTTAAGGACCTACAGGCTCTGCATTCAGAGGGTTATGGTTTAAGCGTGTCTCACTGGAACTTGAGTCCTTCCAAAAACAGTAACCACCACAAAAAGACAACAGGGATTAGGTCCTGTTCTGCTTCCCCCCTTCTAGGATGGACATATCTTTCCTCAAGGGAAAAAAACAACAAAAAAAACCATGTCTCTGGGGTTATTTCACAATATATTTTCTTTGTATAATGTTCTTTACTTAAAGAACAAGAAATAGTTTTTTATAAAACATAAAAAAAGAAAAAAAACAGGCATTTATAACTGAGGGTATGAACTTATATCCACCAGGTCTCTTGTCCGTGCACTTCATTTTCTTTGGAAGAAAATGATGTCTGAAGAATAATAGAGAGGCATTTTTACATACGTATTTAAAAGAAAAGGAAAATCGTGGTTTCTTAAATTGATGAGGATTAAGAATATTTTATTATAAATATAATATATGATTTTTAAACCTGTTTTGTTGCCTCACGTGCTGCCAGGTTAATTCATTTTCCTTCATGTCAGAGGTGGGAGGCAGTGCGGCTGGCTTGCTGAGGAAATGCCTGGGCTCACCCTCCGCGGTGGGCGCAGCATGGTCATTGTGGATACTGGTTTTGTGGAGTTGAGGGAACTTAGGATATAAGTTCACTCCCTCTATTTTTCTTTATGATTCAGTTTTTCAAAAATTTCTTTCACTTTCTCCCCAATGTGGAAATTACAAATCAAAGGCCTTTTTCTTTAATGTAAAGTGTATTTATTTAAAAAAAAAATACAAAATAAACTACAAGTCTGTCTGTGTTTGTTTATGGCCTTTCCCTGTACTCCTTTTACCAAAGTGGGGTGTGATCCTTTCCTTGTAGCTCAAGCCAGGCCATGGAGAAGACACCTTCTGAGCAGGGCAGACCAGGGTGGTGGGAAGAACGTGTTCTGTCCAGATAAAGCACGCCAGGGAGAAGAGGTGCTCAGGGCACTGTCCTTGGACACACCTCTCCGCCCGTGTTGTGCATCACGGCAGCTGCCAAATACAGATTTGGTGGAGCAGGAAAGTTAGGGATACCGGAAAGCTTTGGAGGAACAAGCTGGCAAAGCTAAGGAGTAAAAGCTTTTCGCTTTCCCTGTAGCGTGGCAGCTGCCATTGCTTTTTCCTGCGGGGTCTGTGACTTAGTTCTCCTCTCCTGGTGTTTTGGGTACAGCCGGGGCTTGGTCAGGCTGGGTTTGCATTAGCGTACTTAGAGGCCTTTAAAGTTGGCCTGTGGTGAAAACCGTGTAACTTCCAGAGAAAGTTCAAGGGGTGCTACCTTTTTCACTCATCCTACCTGCCCCCTTTTCTTCCCAAAATATAAGACCCTAGTCTCTTGCGTTCTTTGATTTAGTCCAAACAGCTGTTACACAGGAATTATATATAAAAAGATTTTTCTCCCTTTACTCAGAGAAGGGGGACCAATTTGGTGGTTGTGAAGTACATCAAGCAGCACAGGGCAGGTCCTGCTGGGTAGGAGCATATACCGAGCAGGCTTGTGTCACACAGGTGGGGTCCCTAGTCCCCTGGAGAACAGAGGCCTCAGCTTAGCTTAAGTGGATAGGTAACCCCTAACCAATGGAATAATCCCACTGCTGGCACTGAGTGCATAGAGGAGGGCAGGATAAAAGCAAGTTGGAAACGCCTGTATACAGGTCATTAACTCAACAGAGCCAGTCACTCTGCCAGAGCTCCTGGGACACCCACAGGTCTCCAAGGTGGAGATGGGCACTTCTAACAGGAAAGCATAATTCTGGTTGCCTTGACAAAATACCCTTAGGAAGGTGCCCTAAGAGGATAAGGAAATATCAGTCCTGGCCCCTATTTTACCAGGGCTTCGAATCGGAATCACTTAGGAAGAAAGTTAAGACATCAGTACAAAGTGCCAAGGAGGCGAATCCCGCCTTCTCTGCTGTTTGCCTTGAAGCACCATCTCAGCACCTGAGCCCCAGGGTGGGGGGTGGCGCACACCTGCCGTCAACTGCTTTTCTCACTGGGGCAATAGAAAGCCGACAGGCCCGATACCTGACCTACTGTTACTACTGCTAGCCACAGCTGGTCAGAGAAGTCACAGAACCTTCTATGTCTTAAGAGCTAAAGGAAGGAAGTGGTTCAGAAGGTCTAGGGAAGAGAAGGGAGGAGGAAGGTCACACTGGGGTGTGCCTCGTCACCAAAACTTGGCAGTTTGGAGCCAGAGGGCAAGGCAAGGAAGTATCGGATCTCCCCAGGTTTTTTAGCATATTTCTTATCTGTGTAGTTGTCTGGGAGAGCTGGGAGATGTATTCTGGACCCTGAGCACCCACTCTATGAAGGGAAAAGGCAGCCCAGATGTTCAGGACACTTGCCAAGGCAGCTCTGACCTGTGACTGGGGCATTTGTTAAAGACCTACGAGCCCCCTTCCCCACTCAGCAGTGTGCTTTCAAGAGGAGCCCCACCTGGCTTCTGGCAGTACTCTGTGTACCCTAATGGTACAGGTGGTTCTGCCGTGTCCGACTCACTGCCTTAGAGCAGCTGTGCCCAGGGCTCAGGCGGAGGCAGGCAAACATGTTTAACACTTCCCAGTGTTGACATTTGTTATGAACCTGCTTGCTCTCAGGAGCACCAGCTGAAGCCCAGTGGGCAGCACTTCCCTAGGCACCTAACCATGTTCATTCCAGATCTCCAGGGTCTCTACAAAACAGCCCTGTGTCCTTGTAATAGGCCTGGGCTCTCCAGGCAGCCTGCACCTCACAGAGCACCTCTCCCTAACTCCACCTGCAGCAGGGATCAGGCCTGGAGAGGAGAGCTTGGTAGGCAGAAGCTGAGCTCTTGGCCCTTTGGGGAGCTTATTTCTCTTACCAGAGTTTCTGCTTTTAGCCCGGACAGTGGTCCCTTTTAGAACATCCAAACTGCTACACGAGAGTGCTGTTTGGCTGCATTCTACAGTGGCAAGTGCCATGTGCTTCCTACTAGAGACAAGTGAAGGCAGGACCTAAGACTCCTTCAGGCCACCTTTGCCCCCAGCTAATGGCTCCACACCTTCCTCTCCAGCTTGGCCTAAACAGCTTTAAGTTCTAGCACTGCCCCACAGAGAGTACCCACCTCCTAAGCCAAGGCAAAAGGTCTAGACATGCTCACTCTGCACAGGGAAACAGCCCATCACGGCTAACCCACCGCTCCTGGGCAGCACTGCAGAAGCACTCCAGGTGAGGGATTTGCGGTCCCTCACAAAGCCCCAGGGGAGAATGGGGACAGCGCCACTTCACTGATAGACCAGTCCTGCACCGAGTCCACAATGACATCAGTCAAGTTCCGGAATTAACCAAGGAAGGCTGCCTCCAACCCTCCACTCTGGCATCTGGACTCCCAGGCTTTTGGGAGTCTGAGGGGGGAACAATGAACATCCCTGGGCTGAGTAAGGCTAGGAGGAGGCTAATGAGAGGGAGCCCAGACAGACTAGCGGCACCAAGACCCGCTGGCATCAATACTGCACTGCTACCCCCATGTTCAAGGCCACACAAGTGCTGAAGACCACTTACTGCCAAACAGGCATTTTTGTCCAACTGCAGCTCAAGGTGACGGACGCACATTATTTAGGGCAGGAAAACACTACAAAAAGCTGCTGGCCACAAACCTTCAGGCTCACCCGCTTTTTACACTGGCTCTCCTCAGGCCAGAGTGGCAGGGTCCAGAGCCCAAAGTGAAGCCCCCTGCCAACAACCAATATAAAATAGCTCACACAGTCCTGATGTAGCTCGAAGACTGAGAGCCACTGACACAGCAGGGCTTTTGGACAAGGCAGTGTTGGACAGGTGACATGTCATTTGTGTGCATGCACTGGGGGAAAGTCTTCCATTCGTTGAGAGAAAGCTTGATTAAACCAGGACTCAACAGGATTAAAAATCCATCCTCTGACAAAAGGCTTTACTGACAACTTTCCATACAGTTAGTCAAAAATTAAAAAAATACAGAACACAGCAGACAGTATTTCATACACTAGAAATCAACATAACTGGAGTCCCTTCTCTTTGTTGTAAAAAAAAAAAAATCCCCCGAATCTAAGAACTTAAGTTTTGGTGGTGGACAGGACATCGGTCCTCATTGAATGAACCAAAATATCCTGGCAGAGAATTCAAGGGGGACAGGGTAGAGGGGTTCTGATTTTAAAATAACTGCTTCTGCGACACAAACATAGAGGTGGAAAAGACAGGTCTGGGCTAGGCAGTGTCTCTTACTATAACTATCACCATGTGTTCTTCTTCTAGTTTGCCCAGTGTCCTCAGAGCTGACTGGAGGTACTGCTGTGAAAAGTCGCAGGGTGGGAAGGCGTACAGCATGCCCGTGCTGTCCCTGCCCTTGGACCCACCCACTGGCAGGCTAATCACCCCTGCAGCCTGCTTCTGTTTCAAGTAGGAGACCAGGTTCCTGAGAAGCCGCCTCTGTAGGCCTGGTTCTACCGCAGGCATTCCCTCAAGGCCAGGTCCACTGGGGGCTGCCTGGGTGGCTAGGAGCACTGCGTAGCCATTGGGGCTCCCCTGTTTGATGCGTCGTGTGACCTCGTCGAGCTTGGGCTGGTCCAGTCGAAGGCGCTGGGCAATCTTCAGCTGGGTCAGCTTGCTCCCAGAAGTGTGGTCTTTGAGGAGACCGCTGATAACCCCCTGGTCTCCCTCCAGGATGTGCATAGATGTTGGGAAGCAGCTGTTTTTCAACACCAGAAGCCCATTCCAACCCAGCTGTAGTGTCTGAGCATATTCCGAAAGATTCTTTAGCTTTTTGGTCTCATGTTTTGGCTCTTCAAGAGGCTTGGGCTCAGCCTCAGTGGTCCGGTGATTGCGTTCGCTATCTCTTGTCTTCTTCCCGTGGGAAGAGTCCGGAGCCTCATGGTGGTGGTGGTGATGGTGGCCCCGCTCCTCAGCCCCGTGTCTGCTGTTGCTGAGAGAATTGCTCGACTCCTTGGTCCCCTCACTGGAGTGGTTCTCCTTGCGGCTGCGCTCTGGGGTTCGGTCGGAGCCTGGCTCCAACTGCAGCCCGCCACCCTTGGTCCTGCTGCGTTCCTCATAAGGGGAGTGGGTTGTCCTTCCACGGTCACTAGAAAGGCTCCTCCGCTTCCGCCTCTCTTCCCAGGGCTTGGGCATCCCACGGTCCCCATCACCCCCCCAGCGCTCACCACTCCGGCTGCGCACTGAGCGGCTGTAGCCCTCTAGGCTGTTTCTGCGGTCAGAGCTTTTACTGGGACTGGTCCAGTCCCCTTCCAAAAATGTCCGATCCCGGTCTGAGTACAGGAGGTGTGGGGGGGTCCTATCGCGCACGCGCAGGTCAGCATCCAGGTTTCGGTGTCGGGTATATCCATCTGTGAGAAGCTCATAATGCACAGGCAGGGGAGAGGGCTGGTACTGCTGGGGGTACCGGGTCTCCTCTGCTTTGGCGAAATCCACTCGGAGCCTGCGGTCAGGCCCACCCAAGGGAAAGCCCCTCATTTTGGCGCAGGCAGCCTGGGCTGCGTCCAAGCTCTCATACTGGATGTAGGCAAAGCTATCTCCTTTGACGTGATCGATGGTCCTAATGCTGCCAAAGCGGTCGAATTCCCTGGCCAGAGCCGCCAGTGAGGTGTTAGGTCCCAGGCCACCCACCCAGAGGCGAGTGGTGGGGTTGGCCTTGCCATAGCCTATCTTAATGGGGTTGCGGCCAATCACCCGGCCTGACATGGCCACCTTAGCCCTGTGGGCCATGTCCAGGTTCTGGAACTTGAGGAAGGCATAGGCGCCGCCCTGGCCCCGTGCAGGCCTCTTGATGACCACCTCCTCGATGATGCCGTACTTCTCAAAGGCCCGTCGCAGCTCCACCTCGGACACGCTGTGGTCGAGGTTCCCGATGAAAAGGTTGCGTGTGGCCCGCTGGTCGTCCTCGGGCATCAGGTCCTCCTCGCAAACGGTTGGGTAGCCGTAGGGGCGCCCGCGGTCGTCGTACAGTCCGTAGTAGTCCAGGGCCCACACCCAG